ATGATAATAATATGGAAGTAACTCAAGTAAGTCCCCGTAACTATTTATATTCATGAATATATAAATCTATACCATTTCAATGTACAAAAAAATGCGGGATACGAATATTTATAAAAAAAAATGAAACAGATAAGGCAGTAATTAGGCTCAAGCATCGCAATTAATATTTTTGAATATTTTAGGTAATTTCAATATACCATGCCAAATTGATTGAATGGATGTTTATTTGCGAATTAACGATATGTATAATATGGTTTTTACCTTGAAAACAACATACCTACCTATTTTCTCAAACAGCTAAWCATTCAACTATAATATTTACTAGGTAGTCAATAATAAATACTTTATGAAAAAAATGCTTCGCAAAAACACCTTTTTATTGAAATATATACTATTGCTGCAATGCCACCTGTGTAGAATAATATGATATAATATGTATATTATGTACCAAAATACGATAACGACGTAATTTAATTAAGAATACATTTTTATTATTTTATCACACTTAATTGCCATTACATGGTTGAAAGGTAATGAAATATATACTGCAATCGTTCGATAACGTTCAATTTATTAGTCTTACAGAAATAAGAATGACGGTAGGTACAATATTTATTGGCATGTATACTATGTATATACGTATTATTATATTAGTGTTCTGTAACAATCGTTGCAGGATGTTTAATGTGATGGTGAATGATGTATCCACTAATATCATTTAAAATATTAATACATAATTTAATATTTTATGAAAAATAAAGGAAAATAAACAAGCKTAATTTTATTTTGAATAATTTAAAAAAATAAAACATACCTTTTTTCAATTTCTTAACTCTTTGGAAACAAAAGTATCTCTGACCTCCCAGTCCCCAAAACTCTACATGAATAGCAAAATACAACATACCTTTGAATACTGTATTCAAACCATGGAAAATCATTAAGTAATGTAGAAGAAAATCCCTTATTTTGTTTTCCTAGCAAACGATAACGTTTGGATACGTTTAAAATTAATAATTATTAATTAAGCACATGAGCTATAACTAGGTTATCAGGTACTAAATATGTTACTTCTAACATTAGTCACCATTTATCACTTATACGTTAGAACTTTATAAGTAAAACATTAAAACTAGTAAGTATAGTAACTACCTATTTTTTTCATAAAAATAAAACATAACTTTCTGTRTAATGAGTAATTTTTATGAATAAATTATATGTAAGCATAGCTGTAACTTGCAACGAATTGGACCTATATTTAAAATATTTAAATCAATGATTTCAGATAATAATTTTTATACTTCCGGTAAAACAGGTGGATCATCAGAGTCAACTTCAACGACTGAATTATTTTCAAGCGCTTCATGAGGTTCAA